GGTTCTGTGGGTGTGGCTTGGTGGGCATGGCAGGGCAAGTATACTGTAAAATCCCTATTTCCACTCCACTCCAGGGCAAGTATACTGTAAAATCCCTATTTCCACCCCACTCCAGGGCAAGTATACTGTAAAATCCCCATACTCTCCCCACCCCACTAACCTGCTTTCCAGCTCTGTTCTCCTGTGCAGGGCAACAGAAGAAGACCTAGCCAATCAGCTGGGACTCGGGAGGCAGGGAATAGATGGGGGCGGAATCAGCCAGAGATAGTATTTGCCGATTCTCCGAACTACTCAGAATTTCTGCTACTGGTTCACCAGAACTTGTCAGAACTGGCTGACTACCTCCTCTGTGCAGGCCTTTCTACCAATGAAGTTATAAATGCCTAGAGTAGAACATGTCAACCCCAGCTTATTAAAAAGGGGAAGAGAAAGAATTGGAAAGAAAACCCGAATAGGCAACTCTTATTATCAAAACAGAGTCCTTGCAAAGACCTCTGAAAACACAGGGGGCTTTCATACGATCAGTGGAGATTATATTGTGGAATTTAAAAAGTTTGGCTTCCATTTGAAATCGCTCTGGGATATGTTGCTTCTCTTCACAAATACACTAGGAGTTCTGACCCTATGACTCAAGCATAGGTTTATTTAAGACTTCCAGCATCATCAGATAAGCACATCCTCATGTGGCTAAGATAGTATTACTTTTATAATCAGATGATTATCACAATACAAACAATACTGCTTTTATTGCCATATTGGCAGCATAACCAGAATATATTCTACATTCTTGTCATAAATTAGTATAATTTTTAAATAGATATGTATTTTGTTAGTTATATATTTATAAAAAAAGAAATCAGCACAATATAATGGAAAATATGGCACTAAGTCACCACAGGCAATAACTTAGATTTATAATACACAATTGCTGTAGCTCTCAATAATTCACCTGAACTGTGGATAAGATGATGGGCTTTATTTACCAAGCATGCTACTGAATCAACCCATTTTCTTGGCTTGTAGAAATGGATTGGGTTCACATCACAGAAAAATTAGAAAAAAATATGTTTAAAACTAATCAAATTTAGGCTGTGCAAATCCAGATATTATTTTTGACTGACTCAATTAATTTTATTGAGTGAAAAAGTCTCAAGAGTGTAACTTTTATAATATTTGTTACTTCCATTTATCTAGTTTACAATAATCTGAGTAGTCTAAGAATGATATTTTTAATAAGATAGCAGCGTAAATGTAGTTAAAAAAATAAAATCTAAAAAAGGAGAAATATATTTCTATTTCTCTCAGCATTAATTTCTTATTACTTTTTGCAAATAATCCCACACAAAATCACTGTAATTTTCAGAACGGTATATTTAATCTCTTGCTTTGCTTTGGTTTCTCTAAAATAGATCTGGCAAAAGAATATCTTTACAGAAATTAGCGGACAGTATCTTGGTTGGTTTCACTGGAACTATGTATATCTTTAATCAATAGTAGGGTTCATCATCTGTCTGGATTTTCTCATACATGTATTTCATACTGCAGGTAATACTTGTTTCTGTGAAGACATGAAAGACTATTCCTTGAACTTATAAACACTATTGCAATATAAAGTATTTTAAAGATCATTTTAAGGTAGCATTATATTTATTTTGCTGAAATAAAGGCAATATTATTTTCTGATTCTTTAAAAAATATTTTTCAAGATGATATTGTACTTTTATTTATATGGAGGAAGAAACAATTTTATTTTGATGAGTCTTCAGGAGTCTGTTTGGCTTCGGCTTTCCCTTTCTCTAAGAGGATCAATTCAGTTCTTGCTGAAGATGAAACAATGGGCTCGGATGGTATATCACCCGAGGTTTCATTTTCTTCTTTCTCTTTGAATGATAAGGTTTCCTGAGCATCAAAGAAAGTTTCGTTTTTGTCTGTTGGACTTCCTTCACCCTTTCCTTCTTTTGAATCTGTTTCCTTTTCTTTGCCCGTTTCCTTGTTCTTTTTTGTTGGAGATGAAAAACCTAACTTGGGAAATTTAAACCATCCTGTTTTTTCAGTTTCTTTGGCAGTATCACTGTCTAATTTGGATGAATCATCAGGCTGAACTTTTTGTTCAGGTTTTGAATCTGATATTGTGTCATCTGTAGTGGGAGAAAACCCAACGCTTGGAAACCAAAGTTTAAATCTACCAGATCTCTTACTATCTTTTTCATCTGTGACCTCTCCTGTGCTACTTATAAATGTTGTTTCCTCTGTAGTTTCTATAGCAGATTTAGATATCTCTATTGACTCAGAGTGACTCTCTGCAAATTCACTAGAAGACTGTATATCAACTGTAAAGGATTTAAGTGTTGTCAGTGTTGCAGCAGATGATGTTCCTTCAACATATTCATAAATTATATCCTTATCTTTATCAGATGGTTTCACTTCACTCAAACCAGCCTTTGGTGCTGCTTCTCCTGTACCTGAAAGTTGATGATCCTTATCCTCAAATATTTCACCCATACATTTTGTAGAAGATAACTTGACTGGTACATCTAAGCTCACGTGTGATTCCTGGATTTTCACTTTGAGAAACGAAAATCCAAAGGCAGCAGTTTGAACATCCGATGGAGGAATCTCAGATTCTTTGACTACTTGAGTGGAGAAAGATTCCTGTATTTCAGCAACATCACCACAGCCAAAGGTAGATTTACTTTCCATCTTTATTTCTCTACTTTCAGCAATTGATCCTTTAACCTGCACTGGTGCACTTGAACTAAATGGGTCATCAGGCTGAAGTTTAATTTCAAGTGGTGCTCTTTGAATATCTGGCTCCTTCAGTGTTGTAATTTTAGCGATTGACTTTTGAACATTACTGTCCATAGCCTCTATTTTCTCTTTAAGAAATTCAGCACTGAATTCCTTTGGCACTTGTTTATGCACATACACTGTTGTATCAACAAAAGAAGAGTCTGTAGATTGGAATTTACTTCCAATTTGTGGTCTCTGAATGGCAGGTTCAGACAACGTTGTAATTCTGACTTTTGATTTCTGAATATCATCTCCTTTGTCTTCAGGGAACATAGCCTTGAACTGCAATTGAGAAATATCATCATCAGCAGTATCCTTTATATCCATTGTCTCTTCTGAAGTCAGTTTTTCTCCTTCAGAAATTCTATGTGTGAACTTGAGCATTTTGAATTTGGGCATTTGGAAACTTTCTTCTGCATCTCCAGGTTTTTTATCCTGAACTTGGATTTCTGATGTTTCTCCCTCCGGTCTAACTAATAATACCTCAGTCTGCACTTTTGATGAATCAACCTGAATTTCTACACCCTGAGATTTACTGCGCAAGTTGGCAAATTTTGGTATCTTGAATTTAGATCCTTTTGTTTTACTTGTTTTCTCTTTCTCTTCTGCTTTCACTTCACTTTCTTTAGGCAAATCTTTTTCAAAGCCCTCAACTGGGAAATCAATGATTTCAAAGTCTTCATCAGTGATTGAAACATCCATTTTAACTTTGGAAAGAGTAACAGCAGGCTCTTCTAAGTCAGATTCAATACCGGGAACAATGGCATTGCTCTTTGTGGTAGACCATCCAAACAAAGGCACACTGAATGTTGGCATTTTGAATATACTTTCTTTTCCCTGAGAATCCTTTTTGGGTGACTTCTTTTCAGTCCCCATTGCTTCAGGTTGTGTATCAAGGCTTTCTGGGTCTGTAATAGTAGCATTGATTTTCTTTCCCATAGTAATTTCAGTAGATGGTATCTCAGCCACTATCATAGTGTCTGGTATAACTTCTGGTTGCTTAATGGTCATCTCACTTTTAGGGATGCTGCTATCAATATCCATCTTTGGGATAGTGCCAATGAATTCAGTATGAGAACTTTGTCCTTCTGTGCCATCTTTAACTATATCAGCATACGTTTTGGCCTCCAGGTCACTAGATTTCCTGCCAATTTTTTCTGAGGACTGTAAAAAACTGCCTTCACCCACTTTGGTGGTAGACTGCTGTTCTTTCTGCACTCTAACATCCTCTTGAGGAAGCATGACTTTTTGTTCCGAGATGTTTTTTTCACTGTCAAGTTCCCTTGAGATGGTTACAACTTCAGGATATTTTACGTCAACTTGTAATTCAGTAACATGAGCTTCTCCAGTGATGTCTTCAGTTTCAGCCTCACTTTTTTTTGGCTTTGAAGTTCGACCAAATGAAGGCATTTTGAATTTGGGCATTTTAAACCAACTCTGAGATTCCTCAGTCTGAATTTCTTCAGAAATTCCTTCATCACTTTTAACTTGTAAGAGCTGAGCTTTTTCACCAGGTTCATCAGATTCTGTAGTCATTTGAAACTGAGAGGCATCAGATTCCGGTTTTGATGAAGTGATTCCACTGCCTGACAGATCTGAAATTGCACTTTCTGACAGTTCTGAAATGCCAAACTTTGGCATTTTCAGTTTTGGCATCCTAAACTCCCCCTCTGTACCATCAGATTTCATACTTGCACTGTCCATATAAATGTCACCTTTGACCTCTGTTTCTAAACATGTCTGTTCAAATGAACTTTTTGTCATGGACACCTTAGGTAAGCTTATATCTGTATCTGTCTGTAATGTTTTGATTTCTTTGATTTCACCTTTCAGCATTTTTACACTTATTTCTGTTTCCTCTACGTTTCTTGTAGTAAAACTGCTTTCTATGTCAGGTATTTGCACCAAAGCTCCATCACCTTCAACTACTATATCTACCTCTGCTTTTGGTACCTTTGTCTTAGACAGTGAGATTTTGGGCATAATTAAATGAGGTCTTTTTACTTGACCTTTTTTGGTGGCTATGTCTACATTTCCATCAGTATGAACTCCTTGATCTTCTGAAATAGTTACTTTTGGTTCTGTGCCTGAATCATCTGATACTATGCCAAGATGAGATTCTTCCACAGGTTCTTTTATACTTGTTTTAAAGCTTGCTTCCTTTTTAGGGGACCAGCTCAATGATGGCAATTTGAATTTTGGCATTTTGAAATGTCCTTTTTCTTCTCCATCTAAACTTCCTCTCTTAGTTATCTGTCCCTTAGCTTCTGGTTCCTTAGCTGCACCATGTAAATCCTGAGTGCTTATCTCTGACTGTGCGACAGAAATATCAACAGATGGTATGCCTACTGCTGCAGTCTTCACATCAGCTTTAATAATTTGGGACATTTTTATTTTCTGTTCCAAGACATCCTTTTTTTCACCAAGTACATCCGACTCCATTTCAAGTGTTGTAGCTTCCACTGCAATATCAATAATATCCATTGTTGTTTTCAGCTGGGGAACATCCACGTCCTTGAATAGGCCAATAGCAATATCTGGAACTTTTCCTTTAGAAAATGAGATCCCAGAGTTAGCCATTTGAAATGTTACCTTTTAATTTTCTTATATACAACTTTAATTTTAATTTCTGTTCCACTTACAAATATTTTAGTCTTTCTACTTTAATTCCCAATAGTTTCATTTTAGGAATCTAAATTCCTTTTACTGATTTATCATTAACATCATCTGGTTGTAACTCTCATTTTAAAAACTGTCATCAAGTGAAGAAACTAAGATTTTAGGTAAACATATTTCCATATCTACTGTAGAAGCTTTAATTGCTGGTCTAAAATGTTCTGTGCTTGTAACTTTAACTTTGGTCATTTAAATACTTTTTATATCATTGTCAATTATTTATTTATCTAATGTTTCTTGTGAAATAACTTTTTCTTCCTTAAAAACAGACACTGTCATGTCATTATTCAGTGACAGCACACAGGTATTTCAGCTTTATAACCTTTCATTTTTGGAAAACTAGAATGAAGCCTTCTAATAGTTGTTTCCTCCATAATCAGTTTTAATTAAAAATTCTATTCTTTTGTTTAAACTGTAAATGAGGGAACTTCTCTGCTTGCATTAACTGCTGGCAATTTTTCAGCTTCAGGTTCATCAGCTGGGATTTCAGATTATATGCTTTGGGGTGGCCTGCTTCTATGGAAGGTAGGCAGACACCGAGAGCTGTGTAACAATTTTCCTATTGGTAAGGAACATTCCCAGTAAGGGCATTTGAACCTTTGAACTTATTATCCCACCACCAAGATCAAAAATCCTCCCCTGCACAATAATCTTACCTGAAGAAGCTTGTACTTCTACGTCAGGAGCTTGGAGTTCCACAGTGACTGGGACCCATGGAATCTTTACTTCAGGGCCTGCTATTCTGATGTCGCCCTCAAATTCATCTGCCTTAAGCTGGAGTTTTGTAGTGCTGAGCTCAACATTTGGAAGAGAGGTGTGAACATCAGGCATGCTGGCATCTGAATCTATTTTGGGGCCCTTGATATCAGATTTAGAGAATCCCATACTGGGCATCTTGAACTTTGGCATGTGTATTTTCATCCTGCCTTTCTCACGGCTACCTTCTGCTTCCTCCACTTTGCTGGCAGCCTCAGAATCAGGCAGTTCAGCTTTACCTTTGGGAAGGGAGAAGTCCGCCTCAACCTTTGGAAGGGAGATGCCTACTTCTGGTGTAGTGAACTTGGGGGGCTTGACACTAGGCAACTTCATCCCAGGGGCTTTGATATTGCCCTTCTCTTCAACTTCCACATCCAGGCTTGGGGCCTCCCTGTCCACTTCTGGAACAGTAATGTCAGCTTTGAGCTCTGAAGAGGGCAATGTGAATTCCATTTTAAGTCCTGTTTTGGGGAGGTCTCCTTCCATGGAAGGTATGGTGATTTCTCCCTCTGAAAAACCTTTTCCTTTGGGCCTTGAAATTCCAACTTGGGGCATTTGAAACTTGGGCATTTTGAATTTACCATCCCCACTTTCAAGTTGAACATCAGGCACATGCACAGCCATGGAGGAAGGAGGCTCAATTTCTGGGTGAGGAGATCTCACTTCCAAGGAACCTTGCCCGGTTGGAATTATTATTTCTGGGACAGAAATATCAATATCACACACAGATTTGCCCAGGTTCAGCTCAGGTTTGGCAGGACTGAGATCAGCTTCGGGAAGAGAAACGTCCACTTTAGGCATACTGACATCCACATCGATTTTGGGGCCCTTAATGTCGGGTTTGGAGAATCCCATCCTGGGCATCTTGAACTTTGGCTTGTGTATCTTCAGTCCTCCCCCATCGATGGTGCTTTCAGCCTCTGGCAATTTTACAACCGCTGCAGCATCAGGCACTTCAGCTTTTCCTTTGGGAAGGGTGATGTCAGTTTCAACCTTTGGCAAGGAGATCCCCACTTCTGGCCCTTTGAGTTTGGGGACCTTGACGCTAGGCATCTTCACTTCTGGCATTTTGATTTTGCCCTTATCTCCAATCTCCACTACCAAGCTAGGGGCATCTACCTCCACTTGTGGAAGCTTAAGATCAGTCTCAAGCTCTGCAGAGGGCAGTGAAATCTCTGCTTTCAATTCTGTCTTTGGCAGCTCTGCTTCCACAGAAGGTACGCTGATTTCTGCCTCTGGGATACCTTTTCCTTTGGGAAGTGAAATTCCAAATTTGGGCATATGAAACTTGGGCATGTGGAACTTCCTATCCCCGCTTTCCAGCTTAAGATCGATCTTAA